AATGTTTATTATTAACGGCTATTTGAGGTTTAACTTATTGGCAGATTGTCAAACGCGCTTCGCGTTGAGCAAGTAGTTTGCCTGGCCTCGCTGTACGCAATCAAGGGAACTTACATTACATACAGAACTACTGTCACACTTCTTTGTTGTGAAACATGAATTATTTTCATCGCGAAGTCAAATAGTTTAGCCAAAACGCAAACGTTTATGGTATAATACATATCCATGTTTGGGTTGGTCTGTCGGTCTAATGTAAATAGAAATATTGCAATATTCCAATGTTGTTAAGTTTGTATGCGATGAGAACTACGCGCACAACCATGTTCAAGTTAAAACTGGTCTTTCTGCGCCACTTCTTGTGTATATTGCAATGTCCGCGTTGCTAAATTGAATGACAGTGTGAGAAAATTGTCTTTTGATATTCAGCATAAATTCGTAGTGTAGTGGTGACGTAATACATCCAATTGAACCAATACATTATAACTTCGTTATAACGAACACCTCCCCGGATATAATGAACACTCACCAACTTTTAACAAAACCAATGTGCTTCATTATAGTGAACACTTCACTATATGAAACAAAATGTACCTCCCCGGAATGGTTGTTATATCGCGGTTACAGGGTAACTCGCCATGCTTGATTAATGCATTTACAGTAAGGCACAACAACCGAAAAAATACACACAACATACGGCATTAGTTGCATATAGATAGGCAGTCAGTACGTTCTTAAGTTCACATATACCGTATCGTAATGTCAATATAAACTTTGGTGAGGAAAATATCGTTCTCATTAGTTGTATTTTTTTTTCACAAAAGAGATGTTAGATTCAAAGCTGATCCGCAGGCTCACATTGTTTCAGCAAAAGTTGGTAATATCAGACACTGATCACAGAGACGCGCCAATCGTCTCATTTCAGAACAATTACGTGAATACTATGCTTTACGTTTAATGTCTTCGCCAATATTTGTTGTTCACATTTAGGAGTGTACTAACCCTTTTTATAATTCTGTTTTATTTATTTACAGTTTTCCCCACATTTACAGATAATTGGATAGTAACCATGACACAAAACTTGACGAATGAGGTGGTCGTATGATTTATCGAGCACTGTTTTACGGGAGTAAGAGACAATTGGGACGTTTCTTTAATGAAGCGAACCACTACTTCAAACGTCTCTGATTCGACAGTGGTTTTACGGTGTAAAGATTTCCTGCGATTTATCTTTTCCCAACGGAGTATAATAAACGTATTTACGCTTTTTGGCTGTGTCAATGTAACAGTGTTAACTATCACGGTCTTAAATTATTGGATTTATACGGATCGATGTTTCCCGCTAGTGTCCGAGAATCTATTTGCGGAACGAGGATTTAACTACTAGATGACTTTGTGGCTATTTCGCGCGACGGACAACAATTTATATAATTGATTTCATCAATGACACTTTCTTAGCGAATATACTAATTTATTATAATGATAATACAAGTTCGAAATTAGTTCTGACAGCGTGCTGCGATTATCACCGTGTTCACGAAATGAATGAACTGTGGGAGCATGCGTAGATAATGGGAACTCATTGGTTGCATTGCAGAGCAACACGTCCTCTGCGTTTAATAGGGAACTCTGCGCCTTTTCTATTTGTAAAGCGATATTGATTATTGTAGCTCCAGTGTGCGGTGAATTGTATGTGAGTATACAGAACTGATGTGAGACGCCAGTCGACGCAACCGGTGATATTGCTCTGCGCCCTGTATTATACACAACTGCGGATCAGATCACCTTTCGCGACATATCGGTAGCTTGCAGAGATAGACTGGCAATGCAACAGTGCTGACAACCCTATTTTCAGCATTCTACCGATTTTTAAATTTAGTTATGGCTCTCTCCTGCTATGTATTCGCCGCTCGAATCCTTGTGGTTGACACGTGTATATTGATGTTACTGGTCGGCTGCACGCATGCCGCCGAACCTACGGCAAATACAAACAAAGCCGGCAGCGAAGTCGACACCATCGCCTACAAGTACATTGCAGAGGAGTCTGTTCTTATGTATTACGAGCACGGCGTCAATATTACCTGGCCAGTCTATAAAGCAGCGACTATCGAGCAAGGTGAAGGTGACGTCATTTTAGGTGGCTTGTTCATGGCCCATGAACGCCACGAAGTCTACGTCTGTGGCAGCATATTAGAACAGCCCGGTATCCAGGCATTGGAGGCTATGCTGTATACGGTCGACCGTATAAACATGAACGACACCTTTCTACCTGGTTTTAGACTCGGAGTACATGCTCTGGATGACTGTGACAAAGACACATACGGGCTTGAACAGTCCGTCGACTTTATTCGAGGATCCATCAGTAACATTGGCGGCACTGAGATAACTTGCCGGGACAATTCCATCCCCGTAGTGAACTACAAACAGATCACTGGCGTGGTGGGTGCGGCGTCCAGCATTAATTCCATACAGACCGCAAACTTGCTAAAGCTGTTCAAAATTCCGCAGGTACGTGACATGCATACTGAAATTTGATATTCATTAGCGATGTGATGCATATATTTATTATTAATATACTGAACACTTTTATTATTATTATTATTATACACAATTATTCTTAGCATGAATTCAGTTAAACACATGGCCCAGACTATACCATTAAAATAATCATATATAAAACCCAATGCAATACGGTAAAGTAAAAGTTAACACTTAAATTAAATATTTCATATATATATAAATTTAAACAATGTTTTAAAATGGTGTTTAAAAAAAATGTACTTGAATGTGGCAAATTTAAAATCTTTATAATAACAGTTGTTGTTTTTTTTTAATTTTGGTCGCGATTACACCAGGTCAACCCTCGACAATAATCTTGTTTGTCCCGACGTACAACATTCCAGAATTTCAGGAGGAGAAATATAGGGAGGAGAAAGGCGTCTTATAAGAAAGCACAATTTTATGTAATTCTAGGCGCTTAAAAAATAACATCATCTCAGCCTCCGAAACATGACCCATTAAAGACAGAGTAATCAACGAAACGGATAACCTTGCCAACACGTTTTTATAATTTAACATTGTAGTTCTACGATTTTTAATAAAAGTTCATCAAAAATCTTTCATTTGAAAGGATGGTAATGTGATTATTTTTGGTAGATTTTAATGTTCTACATTCTGCATTTTAACTAAAACTTGAGTATCAAACCTCGACATTTTTAGATGACATTGTTGAAAAATAGCAATCTCTGTTCTAAAAAAGCGGGTCTTAGCCGAGTAACTTGAGCACCCCGCCCCGAGTTTAGTCATTACATGTGATGGTTGCGATATGACATCTATTGACGAGCGTTCGTCGAATTCAACAACGCAAGACCATATCGAATAAGCTTTCGAAATCATAGGATATTTCGAGAGATTCCTTCTTACGCAAACTAAAAGATTTTACCTTTCAGCATCAGTGGATGCTAGGTCAAAGCGTCTAGGTGCTCGTGACTTCAACGTCAAAGTCAACTTTTTTAACATTTCACAAATTTTGAGCAAGACCTGTAGTCGATAAGGAATTACGCAAATTTCTTTAAACATTATCAAAAACATTCATTTTTAGAAACGTCCACACAAATTGGCGAAATTTTGTTTTGACAAGAAAGGCTGTACGTATTTGTTTCGGTTTGAACTTACACATTGGCCTTCATAACCATGGTAAATTTAAATTTCTCTTTTTTTAAACATATGTCACATAAATACTCACATAAGATCAAATGCAAATTCAGAGCTAAATTAACATCTACAATAATTGACATAATTATCATTCTGTTAATCATCGTTTTAATGATCAAGTTATTTAGAATCAGCAAATATTGAATATAGTTGACTATTTCATAATTATGCCACACACGTTGAAAACGCTAATTGCGGCAATTAACAACCCCCGTGTTGTTTGCTTTGGGTCTCTATCCTATTTTGCACGATGAAAGAATTATCACTTATTTATAAGTTGAATAATTTAAAATAAGTATTGACCTTGTATTTCAAATTATATTTGAATTTCAAGTGGTATTTATATTTGTCGAAAAATAAACACACTAAACTGTTGTACTCTGAATATTTACTTGCTATTTCCAAAGAGCGAGAATACAAAGTTTTATAGCTATCAAGTTTATTTTCTGCCAGTTTTAACAATGCCCAAACGCTATCAGAATCCGGATTGACTTGGATCAATACTTGCATATTGTTAAAACCGCTAGACGTAGATGACGAATGCGGTGGTTGTTTGTACTGACACTATAGTGCCATCGAGCCGTTGGTACGTGCCTTCTGTTATATATCGTAATTTTTGTTGTGCTATCTGTTATATATCATATGTTAATATATGTAATATGGATATAGTAACGCACAGTGATATAATACACCCATGCATCGGAAACTAAAACGGAAACACCATTAGCCATCTATCTGTTGTTGTTGTTGTTGTTGTGTGTGTGTTTTTAAGAATGATGAGCGGTAATTTATAATTACATAACCAATCTATAATATAAATTGACATGTATGTGTTAGGAGTTTAATATGATTATTATATATCTTGCAAATTAGGGATGATATACTAATCTCGAGTCTCTCAGGCGACGTTTTAGCACCAATCGGTGACCTCGACTAGGCCCATTTGTTAAATTGTATTCACCGTCACGTATGGTTGTTTGTTTAACTGATAAAGGTATGGAGGTAACAACAATGGTCTATTTAAAATCGTGTTGATTTCGATGAGGATTATTCTCCAAATAGCTCGTAACCTATAACGCGATGACGTTGCGTATCACGTGATTGCTCTGGATGGTATGTCTACAACGATTTTTTTTTTAAAAAAGCTCCTGCAATTTCGTGCATACATCGTATAATCTGTCAATTCTCCGTAAGATCACACAGTAAACAAAATGTGACAACAAAAGAGACATGTCCATGATCTACAACCAATACACGTGACCTGGTGGCATGATGGATTGCACCTTGATATGTTGTGGCAGATATGATAGAATGTGAATGTCTTTAATAATCTAAAATCGATGTAAATAAATGATTTTTGATTTTTTTTAACTGTGTCAACTGAGGTGATATTCTCTGCTCGTGATAGGCACATTGAAGTCGAAACCTTCCAATGACAATTAGAGTGGAAATGATCTGCTTGTGATGAAACATGATGTGGACAGTTATTGTCGATGTCTAATAACTGTACTCGACTCCGCAGAAAAAAAAGTTTAGATTAGAATGTCTATCTTGATTGGAACTAAAAAATGCCAATGTTCTCGTTTCGAGATTTTTGCGGATCACCTTGAAGTTTACGTGAAATGTCTAATGATGACTGGGGGGGATATCATATACACGATCCTCCGATTCAATATGTGTATGGCGTGGTACCATACCAAGTAACCATGGGCGAGACATTACGCACTTACTAAGAATCATTTGATTGCGGTATTTTGGTGACGCTGCTCAATTTGTGCCATAGAGTTTCGCAGTGCTTTGTGAGGTTTCGCACTGGAGTGATATAAACGACTTATACGGCGATGGCGAACTACGTTTTACATTCTACACATTATTCGTTTCGTGATTCTGCGCATTATTTTGACTGTCGTGTTGAGATACACCTAGGTCAAATTGATGAGCCAACGTCTGGTGATCATTCGGTGAAAGACCAGTACACTGTGACTGTAATGTTTTTTTAGAATTCCTTTGTTATTATCAGCGGATTAATAGAATGGCTGATTAAGACTCAATCTGCCCCTTAGCAAATCCAGCAACAACCTTGTCAACGATCCGGAGCATTTGAGTTTTCTTACTTTTATGAAGATAATAATGTCAAGCGAAAGTGCATGCTCCATTAATGGTTGGCACACAAGAGCCTGTAAAATGTAACCGTACACCATCAAAACTCATTACAGTTAAGTAAAATGACAATTTCAGTCTATTAAATATACATCGTTCCCTTGGAGCATCATCCTTTAATGTCGCAATGACATTCGTGTATATCTTAAAGAGGTTTAGATTATTTAGAGCCTTATTCAACGACCGTGTGTGCGTACAATATTTTCCAAACTGCATCCTCTTTACGGGAATTATCTCTCCCCTCCTGGTCATGCGCATTAAGTCTAATCGGAAAG